GAACCAACCTTGCAGTCCAGGGATAAATCCCAGTTGGTCGTGGTGAATAATCCTTTTAATGTACTGTTGGATCCTATTGGCTAGTATTTTGGTGAGAATTTTTGCATCCATGTTCATCCTTGATGAAAGTCTGTGATTCTCCTTTTCCATGGGGTCTTTGTCTGGTTTTGGGATTGAGCTAATGGTGGCCTCATAAATGAGTTTGGAAGTTTTCCTTCCATTTCTATTTTTTGGAACAGTTTCAGAAGAATAGGTATTAATTCTTCTTTAAATGTTTGGTAGAATTCCTCTGGGAATCCATCTGGCCCTGGGTTTTTGTTTGTTGGGAGATTTTTGATAACTGCTTCAATTTCCTTAGTGGTTATAGGTCTGTTCAGGTTTTCTTTTTCTTCCTGGCTCAGTTTTGGTAGTGATACATCTCTAGGAATGCATCCATTTCTTCCAGATTTTCTAGTTTGCTGGCATATAGTTGCTCATAATATGTTCTTATAATTGTTTGTATTTCTTTGGTGTTGGTTGTGATCTCTCCTCTTTCACTCATGATTTTGTTCATTTGGGTCATTTCTCTTTTCTTTTTGATAAGTCTGGCCAGGGGTTTATCAATCTTGTTAATTCTTTCGAAGAACCAGCTCCTAGTTTCGTTGATCTGTTCTACTGTTCGTTTGGTTTCTATTTCATTGATTTCTGCTCTGATCTTTATTATGTCTCTTCTCCTGCTGGGTTCAGGCTTTATTTGCTGTTCTTTCTCCAGCTCCTTTAGGTGTAGGGTTAGGTTGTGTATTTGAGACCTTTCTTGTTTCTTGAGAAAGGCTTATATTGCTATATACTTTCCTCTCAGGACTGCCTTTGCTGTATCCCAAAGATTTTGAACAGTTATGTTTTCATTTTCATGAATTTTTTAAATTCTTTAATTTCCTGGTTGACTCATTCATTCTTTAGTAGGATGCTCTTTAGCCTCCATGTATTTGAGTTCTTTCCGACTTTCCTCTTGTGATTGAGTTCTGGTTTCAAAGCATTGTGGTCTGAAAATATACAGGGAATGATCCCAGTCGAGACCTGATTTGTGACCTAGGATGTGATCTATTCTGGAGAATGTTCCATGGGCACTAGAGAAGAATATGTATTCTGTTGCTTTAGGATGGAATGTTCTGAATATATCTGTGAAGTCCATTTGGTCCAGTGTTTCATTTAAAGTCTTTATCTCCTTGTTGATCTTTTGCTTAGATGATCTGTCCATTTCGGTGAGTGGGTGTTAAAGTCTCCCACTATTATTGTATTGTTGTTGATCTATTTCTTTTGCTTTTGTTATTAATTGCCTTATATAATTGGCTGCTCCCATGTTAGGGGCATAGATATTTACAATTGTTAGATCTTCTTGTTGGATAGACCCTTTAAGTAGGATATAGTATCCTTCCTCATCTCTTATTACAGTCTTTGGTTTAAAATCTAATTTGTCTGATATAAGGATTGCCACCCCAGCTTTCTTTTGGTGTCCATTAGCATGGTAAATGGTTTTCCACCCCCTCACTTTCAATCTGGGGGTGTCTTTGGGTCTAAAATGAGTCTCTTGCAGACAGCATATTGATGGGTCTTGCTTTTTAATCCAATCTGATAGCCTGTGTCTTTTGATTGGGGCATTTAGCCCATTTACGTTCAGGGTAACTATTGAAAGATATGAATTTAGTGCCGTTGTATTGCCTGTGAGGTGACTGTTACTGTAAATTGTCTGTGTTCCTTTCTGGTCTGTGTTGCTTTTAGGCTCTCTCTTTGCTTAGAGGACCCCTTTCAATATTTCTTGTAGGGCTGGTTTTGTGTTCGCAAATTCCTTTAGTTTTTGTTTGTCCTGGAAGCTTTTTATCTCTCCTTCTATTTTCAAAGGCAATTTTATTTTTTTCTTTCTGTTTTATTCAGGTTTTTTTTTTTCCCCAAAATTGAAAAATATGCAACAACCACATATTTTAGAATTAGCCTTTGACAGGGGAATGAGATTTAACCACGATGTTATCTTGTCAGAGTTTTGTAGAGGAGTACCAATAGGAGTTAATTCAACAAGTTTTTTTCAAACATAAGCCAAGGCTGTCCAAATCAAAATTTTGGCACCAATGTATTTTATGATGTAGATCATTAAAGTTTGTTTTAGTTTCACTTTTTAACAAAGATGTCAACAGCGGGGTGCCTGAGTGGCCCAGGCGGTTGAGCCTCCGACTCTTGGTTTTGGCTCTGGTCCTGGGATCAGGCTCCATGCTTAGTGGAGACTGTTTGGGATTCTCTGCCTCTCCCTCTGCCCCTCCCCACTCTCACATGCTCTCTCTCTCTCTCTCTCTCTCTCTTTAAAATAAATGAATAAAATCTTTAAAAAAAAAAAGATGTTGACAGCATAGGAGTTCTTTTGTGAGAGGAGATGTTTGTGCAGCAGATGAAACAGAAGAGTTTGCTATGATCAGGTGTTTGAGGGGCTGGCAAGCTAAAGAGGAAGGAGCTTACCTTTCATTTATTCATTCATTTGCTTAACAAATATCTAAGTGCTTATGGTGTGTTTGATGCTAGGGATATATAGATGAAAGCTATTCCACTTTTGGGAAGACAGTCTAGTAAACAGAAAAATAACAGTACCATCGATCGGTATTATAAAGGTCTAGTGCAAGGGTCTGATTTGTACCAACCCTGAACTAAGAGTAGTTTTTTCATTTTTAAATGATTGTAAAAACAAACAAAAAAGGAAGTACATGTGATAGAGACCATATGTAGCCAACAAAGTGTAAAATATTTATTAGCTGGCCTTTTAAAAAATGTTTGCTGGTTCCTAGTCTAGAGGTTAAAATGAGAATACACAGCTTATAGGGAGGCTGTTTTCAATTTGATAAAAGAAAGAACTTTCTAGGGGTGCCTGGGTGGCTCAGTCGTTAAGCATCTGCCTTCGGCTCAGGTCATGATCCTAGGCTGGGATCGAGCCCCACATCGGGCTCCCTGCTCGGTGGGAGACCTGCTTCTCCCTCTCCCACTCCCCCTGCTTGTGTTCCCTCTCTCGCTGTGTCTCTCTCTGTCACATAACTAAATAAAATCTTTAAAAAAAAAAAAAAGAACTTTCTAATAGAGCCATTTAATAGTAGAAAGACCATATAACAACAGAAAAACTGAGCTTTACATCACTGCAAAATGTCAAGCAAAATTCTCTAATAGAATTTCAACATTGGTTAGGAGATTGTGCAATGTGGCTTCTAAAATGTTTTCTATGTAAGGTTTTAGAACTCTAGTTTCTCATTTACTATGGATAAAGTAGAACATTTTTAATTATTAGAGCAGATCCCTGGATCTGATAGCTAAAGGAAATTTCATCATTGCTGTTTTGTTATGCATGAATAGTCATTGAGGGATGTATTGGTCTCACCAGTGGCAAATGTCATGATGATGACTGGTGGGGGAACAGTTAATTATCTCAAAAAAGAGTGATCCAAGCCATCAGAAGTTGTCTAAATGTGAAGAAATGTGGGATCTTTGTTAAAAACCTTCATGATTCTTAGAATGAAGGACTTTTCTGTTATGAAGGTTTAAGACTGAGTCTGTAAGCCAAGGTCAAAGAGGAATCATACCAAGTAGTCCTTGGTCGTCAAGGTTATCATTTTCATTCTGTTTCATTTTTAATAAATTCGTTCAGTAAATAAATAATTCTGTTTTGAGTGACTAAGTATAGCAAGTACTTTGGTAGGCATTGCAGATATAGCTGTAAATAAAGTGGATGTGGAGTTGACAATCTAGGTGGGAAGCAGCCACACCAAAGATTAAAACAAGGGTATGACAGTTATGATAGGGAAGGTGTACCACGCAGAAGCATAGGCGTTCTGAAATCCAGAAGTGTACTGTAGCAATGGTATTACATTCATAATGAAAGAACGTTTGGTTCTAGCAAAACATCACCTATCCAGTTAAATTAATCTTAGAGTACTGATCGTTTTATAGTTTTAGTTCTATATAAAATTTTGTTTTTGTTTTTATGGTTATATAAATGGTATAAGTAATAAGGAGTTTATACCTAGTTTGTACATTTTTAGGCACATATAATAAGAATTATTTAAGTTGACATTCAGGAATCCAGAAGACTTATTTTTCCTTTAAATCAGCAGTTCTCAAACTTTTTGGTCACAGGACTCCTTTACATACTTTAAAATTACCAAGGACTTCAAAGAGCTTTTGTTTATGTGGATTGTTGAATACTTCCCATGTTAGAAATTAAAACTTAGAAATTTCTAAAATATTTATTAACTCATTAAAAAATAATTCCATTGCATGTTAACATGAATTACATATTTTTTAAGAAAAGTATTTTCCAAAACAAAAATATTTAGAAGAGTAGCATTGTTTTATTTAAGAAAAAAAAAGTCTCTGAAATGTTTAACCTCAGAGAAGAGAGGTAGATTCTGGTATCTGCTTTTGCATTCAATATGTTGCTAATATCATAGATGATGTAGCTTCTGGAAAATTCTACCATACTCTTGTGAGAGAATGAGAATGAATAAGGCAAATGACATCTTAATATTATTTTGAATATAATTTTGACTCTAGGCACCTCCTAAGAATGTCTTAGGGGGATGCCCAGGAACCTATGGACTACACTTTGATTTAAGACGGAAGGAAACACTCATAATGGTTAAGAGCACTTGCTAAGAGATTAGAGTGTTTAGGTTCAGTTCTCATTCTGACACTTAAAGCTATTTGAATGTGGGCAAATTAATATTTCTTAAATTTTATAATCCTGTTTCCTCAGCTATAAAATGGGTATAGTAATACCTATCCCTCAAGGTTATCATTGAAATTTTGTGCGTTAAGTGCCTGAAACTTTTCAGGTGATGAATAAATGGGAGTTGCTGCTGCTGCTGTTATCATTCTGATGCTTGTAGAATCTTCCAGCTTTCTGCGTATTTAGGTTCTTTAAAGTAGTACGTGAGGAAGCTAAGCAGTTAACTTTCAGCATTCCCAACATTTTTATACTTGAAACTTTGCAGTCATTCAAGACAACTTTGCTTCCCCTGATTTGCCTTTGCTGACATGTTTGACGCAAGATCAAGAGTTTGGGTCTGATTCCTTATTTCAACAGAGTGAACTAGATTTTGCACCTCTGAGGTAGGGTGATTTATTTTTTTATTTGCATGTAAACTTTCTACTCTTTCTTTTCTTGTTCTAAGTTGTTGCTAATATTAATGACTTCAGGCTAAGGTGAGACTTTGGAGTGGGGGTTAGATATTTTCAGCACACACTTGGAAGGTAACAAGGCCCTAAGTTAAGGCATGATGTGTATTAATTTGGTATAGTAATACATGTGTAAAAATGAGCCAGGCAACTGTAGTTTATTTAATTTTTAATGTATTTTAGCATTTCAGGCATAGTTTATTTTTAAATTTTTATTATTGAAGTATAGTTGACACAGAACGTTATGTTAGTTTCAGGTGCACGACTTAGTGTTTTGACAGTTCTATTCATTCTGCAGTGCTTACCATGACATGTGTTGTACACCTGAAACTAATGTAATAATTTGTGTCAACTATTCTCAAATAAAAGTGTTTTTTAAAAAAAAAAACACCTGAAGATGTTTATGGAGTAAAAACCTTTGTCCTTCTGCTATGTATTACCTTAAAATTAATTATGAAAAAGTGTTCTGTATATAATAGTCACCCAATAATTAGGTTACTGCTGTGTTTTAGGAGTAGATCATTTCTTAAGGGGTTTTCAAGAGCACAGTAAATGGCTAGTGAAAGAATTAATGAAAGTTAAGTGAGTATTAAATTATGGTAGGTGATAAACATTTTAAATAGTAAGTTTGAATTTTTAATTTAATCTTTTTTTGGTAGTATGAAAATATTCCTATTTTTGATAATATTGTTTTAGGAGAAGGCTGAGAAAATATCAGGGTCATAGGATGGGAGTTCATATTCTGTTTACAAAAAATTTGCCTTGTTCAGTCACTAACTGCTTTAAGGGAATTTGAAATTAGAACTTTGTTTTTTCAACACACTTTTCAAATCTTAATTTCAGTGACATAACAGTTTTGTATTTTTCATGTTAGTATTTAAAAAAAATGTTTTTAATGTGTTATTTATTTGTTTTTAACTGTATACTTACAGGGGAATTCCTGGTAAGTCTGAAGATGCTGAATGGTTTTCTCGACCGTCGGAAGTTAGTGAAGCTTTATTCCAGGCAGCCTCAGAAGTAGCTTCAGACTTAGTTAACAGTTGCATTAGTGTATCTCAGCACTCGCTTATAGCTAGTACAGCTGTTGACTGTCAGCGCTCTTTTTTACCTTTTGAACAAGGGACTAAAGAAGATACTATTTCGTCTGATACAGTTGATGAACTGAAAAGCCCCAAAGACTTCGATAGTTATGATGCTCTTTGTTCCTATATGGCATGGAAGACACAAGAAGTTCAGGAGCCAGAAACCAGTTTAGCTGAGAAAGGTCAAGTTTCTGTTTCAACCTCATCTTACACAAGTGATGACTACATGACTCCTGAAGGAAATGACAGTTTTGACGCTTCTTGTTCGCATATGCAGTATTGGAAACAGAAAGCTTTACAGCAGTCAGAAAATTATTTAACCAGTAGGGATCATGATTCTTATTCAGATTCATCTGACACAATTGATAAAAATAAAATTCCTAAGGGAAGAGACAATTTTCGTGCCCCTTTTTCATGTACGCCGTGGAGCAAACAGGAACCTTCACACCATCCAGAAACATATGTGATCAGTAAGGACTGTGTTTCTTTTCCACATGAAGTTGCACCTCATTTTAATAACAAAATGCCACATTCTTTCTTGCATTGTCTGTTGGAAAGAAGAGGAAAGGGCATTCCCTTGACAGCTCACAGTCATTATTTTGAGAGTGTTTATTTAAGGGCTCCAGCTGAGAATGAGGTGAAAGGAATGATGGATTCTTTGGAGGGGTATGAAAGAAATGAAGAAGGTCTGGGGAAAGAATTATCTCAAGGTTTTGAACTAAAGGAGAATAGAAGTACTTTAGTATTTTCAGAGATGCATCCCAGATCTTCAGATATACAGTTTATTGAGAATGTTGTAGTTCCTGATAATTCTGTAAAAGTTTCAGAAATACATATACACTCTAGGCAACATGGTACCTCTAAGATGGAGGTTTCTGGTGGTCCTCTTCAGACTATTAAGCCCAACTTGGATGAGACATCAGAACAACTGTATTTACAAGAGGAAAGAAACCAAAGGGTAACTTCTGCTTTGGGTGGAAAAAGTATTGATGCTTCTGAAAACATAGCCTTTGAGGTAGTTATTGCCTCTATTGAGCCTTCCAAGAAAGAGAGTACAGTAAATGAAATCCAAACTGACAGCAGTAAGTCTTTAAAAAATGACAACCAAGAAAGTGAACCAAAAAATTCACATCTTTCCCTATTAAATTATAATGATGAAAACTCTTTCTTTGATGAGTTTAGTCATCCACGTTATCACTCTACTCCTGGGATGTTTGAATTAGCGGCTTCAAAACCATTGTTGCATAAAAAAGATAATGATGATAGCTCCCTGTATTGGCATCTTGATTTAAAATCACTCCCCAGTACTCCTCAGGAAATGTTCATTAAGCCACTTTCTCTTATTCCAGAGCTTAAGTCATCTGCTTCTTTAAGTGAAAAATCTCACAGCCAGGCTGTTGGTCTTGGCAAAGCACAGTCAGCTTTATTTCAGTGTGATCTAGACAATGAACCATTTCTTCCTATTGGGAAGATAAAGTCTGTTCCTGATCTTGACCTTGCAGAAAAGGTAGGATCTTCAAACATTTTTTATCCAATGAAAGTATCGACTTCAGATTCTTTGGTTTTACAAGATTTAAGAAGATTTGAAGAAGTTGCAGATTCCTCAAACTATATTTTGGTTAAGAATGTAAACTCTAGTAACATCATTGGAGGTCCATCTGCAACTGTAGGAAGCAGCTTTTCAGCAAACTTGGTGACATGTGATGCTAAGTCACAAGGTGCTTTACCAATGACCAGTAATGCATCATTAATTGCAGTTGGCCAAGAGTCATTGCTGAAAGCTGATGTAGGCCAAGGTAAAATTCCTCGGCCTATGGGAGCCAAATCCTGTTTTACTGTACATACAATTATGCAAAATGACTCCTATTTTGTAGAGGGCCTGCAGGGGAAGGCTGAATCTGACACCTCTACTCTGGATGATGATACTGAATGCTGGAACCTAGATGAAAATGCTATTGTGTGCAGTACAAGAGTTGCTGATCTACAAAGAGAGGTGAGACACAATAAAATGATAGTTGGGGGAAACATGGTGTTTTCCAGTACTATTTCAGGAAATGGTATTGTTACTTGTTTTTATTTTACTTTCTTTTTTTTTTAAATTTTATGAACAGGTACATGAACAAGGTGACTTGGCTGCTGAGTGCATTGAGCTAGCAGGTTTTAAAAATGTGCTTGATGATCTAGAGGTTTGTGACAGCTCCCTGCACAGGCAGTCTGCCTTAGAACTGCCATCTAAGGAAGAGAGTGATTTTGAAGAGCCTGTAAGTCATTCTATTTGACATTTATTGTGGGGTAGGGAAAGAATACTTTAATTGAAAAATGAGGGTGAAAGTAAAGGGCCCTTTTATATCCTCTAATACCAAAATGTGACTTACAATCTGGTTTTCATCTGATATCCAAGAATATGCTCCATTAATTTGTTAGAGGTTGGCATAAAAGAAATGTTTGTGTTTCATAGACCGTAAGAGTTAGTGAGTTTTATGGTGTCTTGGAAAAGTTTTGTGTCAACCTTTCTTTTATACAAGACTTCATTTGCCTGGATCCTTGCGTCTCTTGGTTTTAACGTTCCTTTGGTCCCATTGCCCATTCTTTTGTCTGATACTGTCAGCTTCTTTCTAATATATCCTTATATCTTATTAGTCATTAAATATAGCTATACAAAGATGTTGTGTACTTAATGTTACTTTCCTTTTCCTGTTTTTCCACGTATAAGATTAGTATGTCATTGGAAAGCTGCTAGTTTGGGTTGCAGTCATTTTTAGACCTTTTGATTAGAGAAAATGAACAAAGATATTGAGGTAAACTTTTCCTTTCATTTATAATTACTGAATATATTAAAAATTGAAATACAGAGAACTGTGAGGTTAATTTTATTTTCTTCAACATTCTAAAGTAGACATTGTTTGGGCACCTGGGTGGCTTAGTCGGTTAAGCATCTGCCTTTAGCTCAGGTCATGATCCCAGTGTTCTGGGATCGAGCCCCACATCGGGCTTCTTGCTCATCTGGGAGCCTGCTTCTCCCTTTCCCGCTCCCCCTGCTTGTGCTCTCTCACTCCTTCTCTGTCAAATAAATAAAATAAAATAAAGTAGACATTATTTAATTCTAATTTTCAGTCTCTTAATGGGGATGAAAATGATAGCTAATACTGTGTGCTCAAATACTACGCCAAGAGATTTATTTATATACATCAATTCATTTAGTCCTTTGGTCAGTCCTACCAGGTAAGATTATTGGGGGTTATTATCATCCTCATTTTATAATTGATATTTAGAGGGTTAAGGAACTTGCTCATTATTATTGAGCAAGTAGGGGAGCTAGTATTTGAAACTAACCTTATCTTTTTTTTCCAAGATTTTATTTATTTATTTGACAGAGAGAGACACAGCGAGAGAGGGAACACAAGCAGGGGGAGTGGGAGAGGGAGAAGCAGGCTTCCCACCGAACAGGGAGCCCGATGTGGGGCTCGATCCCAGGACCCTGTGATCATGACCTGAGCCGAAGGCAGATGCTTAACAACTGAGCCACCCAGGTGCCCCTTTCCAAGATTTTTTAAATTTATTTGTGAGAGAGAGCACGAGCAGTGGGGAGAGGGAGAAACAAGGTCTTTACTGAGCTGGGAACCTGACATGGGGCTTGATCCTACAACCCTGGGATCATGACCTAAGCCAAAGGCAGACGCTTAACTGACTGAGCCACCCAGGTGCCCTGAAACTAACCTTATCTGTGTATTTAACCACTATACCATACATTGCCTTCCCATTTAACTATTCTTCAGTGAAACCAAAACCAAGATTTTGCATTATTTTGATAAGAGTGAAGGTTTTGAAGGGGATTGGTCAAAGTGAATTTCAATAAGAATGAGAAACAAATATGATCAATTTTAAACTTAGAGTTTCTAATTTTTTTTATAGTACTGCTTAATGTAACTTACATCAACTTTTTATACACTTTTTATAAATATATATTTAAAGAAATGTAGATATGGGCGCCTGGGTGGCTCAGTCAGTTAAGCGTCTGCCTTTGGCTCAGGCCATGATCCCAGGGTCCTGGGATTGAGTCCCCCATTGGACTGCCTGCTCAGTGGGGAGTTTGCTTTTCCCTCTACCCCTCCCTACTGGTTGTGATCTGTCTTTCACGCTCTCTCTTTCTCAAATAAATAAATAAAATCTTAAAAAAAACCCCACAATTTTAAAAGAAGTCTAGATATATAATCAGTTAATAGTGATATGCTAAGATTAATTCTGACCACTATTCCAGATTTTATTTGCCCCCAGCTGTAGCCTTAAGTATATTTTTTTAGTTTAGGGAGGATGTTCCCTGTATTCTCTTTCGCTCTTAGCTCCATTCTATGGTCTGGGAGTTATAATGCCAATATTATGGAAATAAGGAGCCAGATATGGTAGTAATCTTCCTGCATGGCTCAGCTTGCTCTCAGAGGGCTTGCCTGCTCCTTGGTTCCTTTCTTATTCTCATCTGTGTCTCTATAAGAAGAATCATTCATACTTGTTTGCCTAACTTTGATACCTAACCATCATTTCTTTAAATGAGTGTTTAGGCATCCACTTGTATATGACTTAGCTTGGGGCTGTGAAAAGAGTGGAAATTTGGAGTCAAAACCTTGTTCAGTTATTTGTTAGCCTCATGCCTTGGGCAGATGACTTTGGAGGATCATTCTGCTCATCTACATAAAGAAATAGGAATAGTAACAATCAGCCTCATGCATTGTTATATTGAATGGGGTAAGGTATGTAGCACTGCCTGGCTGTTAGTTCCCTTCACTTCACTGAAACCAGATTACTAGACCCTCACAAGGGGTTTTCTCCTGTCTATCATTATTCCTCCTGTCTTTTTTTCTCCTTGTTCCTGGTAGCAGCCTATTATATACTTTTAGCTTCTGTGATAAAATACTGTTTTAGTGTTCCTTATCTTGGCCATGTAACTAAATATTATTTGAAGTTTACTTTTTTAGAGTTCTTTTTGTTTTCTTGGTTCTACCTCTTCCACCAAGTATCTAATTTCCTCTCAAGGTTTAAATGCTTTTCTCTGTGTGATGGTTATTACCTCCGTTTTTAGATCCTAATATTTCTACTGAGGTAGACCTGAATGCTGTCTTGCATGAAATTTTCTTGTGAACATTCCCATCACCTCAAATACAACTTGCCTATATCAAAAGAACTCAGACGTTTTTATGAAATCAGATTGACTTGTAGATTTTCTTAGTTCTTCCAGAGAAGTTAACATGTCTTGGTTTCTTCGTCATCTTTGATTCTTTCTTTATTATTGATTAAAGACTCGGAGATAAACCACTCTTTTTTTTCTTCTTGATTTCTTCCATTTTCAATTAGTAGTGAAGATCTGCTGATCTCTTAAATAAATTCTTCTCATCTTTTTTATTCTACATCTTTTTTTTTCCTTAAGATTTTATTTATTTGAGAGAGAGAACAAGAGAGAGAGAGCATAAGCAGGAGGGAGGGGAAGAGGGAGAGGAAGAAGCAGGCTCCCTGCTGACCAGGGAGCCCAATGCAGGGTTCAGTCCCAGGACCCTGAGATCGTGACCTGAGATCAGGACTGAAGGCAGACACTTAACAGACTGAGCCACCCAGGCACCCTACATATTCTTTTGCATTACCTACTCTAATATCTGTATGTTTTGAAGCTTTGATAATAATGAAATTTTATTTATTTAGTAAATTTTAATGCCAGTATCGTTAACATGGTGTTATATTTGTTTCAGGTGTAAAATATTGTGTACATTAACGATTCTGTACATTACTCAGTGCTCATCGTGATAAGTGTACTCTTACGGAATACTCCTCTTCACCTGTTTCACCTGTCTCCTCCCCTCCCCCTGTAACCATCAGTTTGTTCTTTATAGTTAAGAGTTTGGTTTTTTTTTATTTGTCTCTTTTTCTCTTTGTTCGTTTGTTTTGTTTCTTAAATTCCACATAAGTGAAATCACATGGTATTTGTCTTTCTCTGTCTTATTTCACATGGCATTATACCTTCTGGATCTGTCCGTGGTGTTGCAAATGGCCAGATTTCATTCCTTTTTATGACCGAGATTGGAATAGAAATTTTTTTTCTTCCTGCATTTGAAAGCTCTAGAGAAAAACTATTAAATACACATATGTGCCTGGGGACACACACACAAAGTCTCTATCATATATGTGATACATGTTAATGAGCTGTACTTCAAAAAAGTCCCCTTTAGGAGTGGGATAATTGAAAACTTAGAACTTTGTGCTTTGTTTAGAGCAGGTTTTCTCTGTACTACTGTCTTTTTGGGTATGATAATTCTTTGTTGTGGGGGCTTTTCTGTGCATTCTAGGATGCTGAGCAACATCCCTGGCTTCCACTCCCTAGATGCCAATAGCCACACACACACACACACACACACACACACACACACACACACACACACACACCCTTCCCATGCCCAAAGTTATGACAGTGAAAAATGTCTCCAGACATTGCCAGATGTTTCTTGGTCAGGGAGAGATGGGTGGGGGCAAAATCTCCCACAACTGAGAACCACTGGTGTAGAGAAACCTAGACCAGAGCAGTAGAAGTAGAATATTTATTCTTATAACCTGCCAGCTTTCTAAGATTGTTCATTACTACACAATGAAAAAACCTTGATAAAAGAGGATCGAACAAAATTCATCCTTATGTACATTTTTAGACTCTCCTGAGAGGGCATCCAACAGAGGGAATAATATTTTTAGGAAAATAAACCTAGAAGTGGTATATTGTTTTTATATGAGAATTTGGTGAAAAGTTTTATATGTTTGTGTACAGACATCACCAATATTGGTTTCTAATTTCTTTTCTAGTAGGACTTGCTGGGATCTGATGAAACTTTGAGAACTTCTTTTTCAGCATTTAACCTTTACTTCACTATCAGTTTGTATTTCCCACTACATTTGTTTAAAGAAATTTGAGGACTTATATTTTTTGGTAATTGATCATAGATCCAGTTCTTTGATGCTTTAATTTTTTTCCTAAACATTTGTGGATTTCTTGAAAATATTCCTGTTCTCTTTCCTTTTTTCCTCTTTCCTTTTTACAACATAACCTCTCCTTTAAAAAAAAAAAAAAATCCTTGAGCTTGGAGCTTGTCAAGAGTAATACCAAAGTCAGATTTTTCAGTGATCATACTATTATGTGGAACAAACTTCTAGGCTTCCTATCTGTAATATTCTATATAGGCAGACTTCCAGACCCTCAGAATAATTTGCAGAGCCTTCTTGGAATTGACCAAACAAGAAATAACTTGTATATGAATTTAGGAGGGTTGAGAATATGAGCTTAAGGAACTGGTATAACTGCGTAGTACTCATTTTCATAAAAATTAGGTTTGTTTGTTTTTTTTTCAGGTGAAGCCTAAAATTAATCCTATTTTCTTAATTTCTTATCTCTTTTTGTAGGTAGGTTGTTCTAATATGGACAGTAATCAGACTTTTTCATCCGTATTGCCTCCATTTATTCCTCATGAGCCAACCATAGAGTTGGAGTATCACTCTTCAGATCTCAGGATGTTGAGGGTATCTCCTGACACTGTGCAAAAGACTCTGAAACATACAGCAGGTATGTAGAAAAGGAGATATTAGGTGTTCTTATGACTAGCTTGTTAAAAATACCTTGCTATGGCTAACTAATTTTTTATTTTTGAACTCTTGCAATAATGTTAATTTTGGATTAGGTGTATTTATAAATCCCCAGATCTTTTATTAGGTGAATCATTTGATTTTTCATTGCCTTCTCTGTGGCAGTGTTTAGAACTGAATTATGTGGAGAGTCTGATATTAGAGTCAGTATTATTTTTGTATTCCATTCTGTGATTTGAAGGGAAAAAAGAAATTAATGGAGCACAAGAGGAGAAGAGTAGATCCAAATAAGTTTGTAGAGAGGAGACTGAGAGATCAGTTCTGAGGTAGAAAGCAAGATTATCTGCTAAGGGAGGTAGTGGTAAAGGAGGGTACCTTGGTGCAGGCTCAGAATTTATGTTAAAGTGAATAGGAGTTGCAGCTGACCAAGAACAAGCAAAAGAATTGGCAGGTAGTTCTGAGAAGCCAGCTGAGGTTGGAGATGATTTTGTAATGTTGTCAGCCTTAATAGAATCTCTGGTTTTTTCTCTACTAAATGCAGAAAATGAGTCATAGGTTGATTCTTGGTTGAGGGATTTGTTGAGTGGATGGTTGTGATGGATGGAAAGCAGTGGAGGGGAATCAGAAAATATTAAATATTTAGATCTGTGAACATGGGTTGTTTTTCCTTTGAGAAATGTCATTCTTTATTAAATACTTTGATCTATAAATATGGGACATCTTTCCATTATTTAGGTTTTCTTTATTTCTTTCAACAATATTTTGTAGTTTTCAGTGTATAAGTCTTGCTCTCCTTTGTTAAATTAATTCTAAGTATTTTAATTTTTTTGTTGAAAAAGAAATTGTTTTCTTAATTTCACTTTTGGAATATTCATTGCTAGTGTATGGAAATACAGTTGAATTTTGTATGTTAATTTTATAGCTGCAATCTTCTTGAACTACTTGTTTATTATCTCTTAACATTTTTTGTGTGGATTTCTTATAACTTTTATATGCAAGACCATGTCATCTTCAAATATAGTCTTCTTTCTTTCCAATATGGATGCCTTTTATATATTTCAGTTCCCTAACTGCCCTGACTGGAACCTTCAGTGCAATGTTGCATAAAAGTGGCAAGAACGAACAGATATCCTTGTCTTGTCCTGGTCTTTGTAGAAAGATATGAAGTCTTTTATCATTAAGTATGATGTTAGCTGTGGGATTTTTGTAGACGATCTTTATCAGGTTGAGGAAGTTCCCCTTTATCTGTAGTTTTTAGAGCATATTTATACATGTTATCATATAAGGGTGTTAGATTTTGTCAAATGTTTTTTCTGCCTCTTTTATGATATATGGTTTTTGTCTTATATTCTAATAATATAGTGCATTATTAATTTTCATATAACAAACCTTGCAGTCTTAGTTATATATGCCATTTGGTTATGGCATACAATCCTTTTTGTATGTTGTTGGATTTGTTTTGTCAGTAATTTTTTGAGGACTTTTGTGTTTATATTAATAGTAGGTATTGGTGTATAGATTTGTTGTGATTTTTGTTATTATTGGGTTTTGGTACAAGGATAATGCTAATGTTACAAGTTGAGGTGAGAAGCATTATCTCTTCTAGTTTTGCTGATGTCACTAGTTGAGATGAGAAGCATTATCTTCTAGTTTTTGGAAGAGTTTGTAAAGGATTCGTATCAGTTTTTATTGGGTGAAACTCAACTGTAAAGCTGCCTGCCTCTTTGTAGAAGTTTTAAATTACTAATTTCATGTCTCTGCTTGCTATAAGTCTATTTATATTTTATGTTTTTCATGAATCAGTTTTCATAATTTGTAACCATTGCAGAATTAGTCCATGCCAGCTAGGTTATCTAATTTGTTGGCATATAGTTGTTCATGGTATTCCCATATAATCCTTTTTATTTTGGAAGATTGGTAGTAATACCTCTTCTTTCATTCCTGATTTTGATCATTTGAGTTTTCTTTTTTTTTTTTAAGATTATTTATTTATTTATTTACTTGAGAGAGAGAGAGAGAATGAGAGAGCACGAGAGGGGGGAAGGTCAGAGGGAGAAGCAGACTCCCCGCTGAGCAGGGAGCCCCCTGTGGGACTCCATCCTGGGACTCCAAGATCATAACCTGAGCTGAAGGCAGTCGCTTAACCATCTGAGCCACCCAGGTGCCCCAATAATTTGAGTTTTCTATCTCTTTTTTTTGGTAAGTCTAGCTAAATTTTGTCAATTATTTTCATCTTTTCAAAGAAATAAACTTTGGTTTCTCTACTTTTTCTGATCTCTGTTTCTCTACTTTTAAATCTCTATTTTATTCCCATTTTAGTCTTTACTTTTTCCTTCCTTTCACACTTCAGTTTTAGATTGTGCTTTTTACTGTTTCTTGAGATGAAAGAATAGGTTATTGATTTGAGACTTTTTTTTTTTTTTTAGGATTTTTCATCTATTTATTTGAGAGAGAGAGAGTGAGCACGAGCTGTGGGGAGGGGCAAAGGGAGAGAGAGAAGCAGAATCCCTGCGGAGCAGGGAGCCTGATATGGGGCTTGATCCCAGGACCCCGAGACCTGAGCTGAAGGCATATGCTTAACCGACTTGAGCATCCAGGCACCCTGAGACTTTATTTTTGATATAGGTGTTTTCAATTGATAAATTTCCTATAAGCACTACTTTAATGGCATGCTCAGAGTTTTGGTTTGTTGTGTTTTTGTTTTAATTCATCTAAAATATTTTTAAGTTTCCATTGCAGTTTATTTTCATTGACCCTGTGGTTATTTGGGAATGTCTTGTTTAATTTCCACAGATTTTGTTACTTTTCTTTTGTTATTAATATCTCATTTGATTCCATTTTTGTTGGAGAACACCTACTTTGTATGATTTTAGTTCATTTAAATTTTATTGAGGCTTGCTCTTATGTCCTAGTGTATAGTTTATTTTGTAGAATGTATGGTTTATGTTTGAGAAGAATGTGCATTCTGCTATTGTTAGGTGGTGTGTTCTATACGTGTCTCTTAGTTCTAGTGGGTTTATAGTGTTCAACTCTTCTGTATCCTTGTTGATCTTCTGCCTAGTTTTCTCTATTTTTGAAAGTAAGCTGGTGAAATATTCAACTATTATTGTTTGTCTGTTTTATCATTTTTCTGTCATATTTGCTTCATATCTTTTGAGACTATGATATTAAGTGCATTTATGTTTATAATTGTTATATATTCCTGATGAATTGACCTTTTTGTTGTTATAAATGGTCTCCTTTTGATTCTAGTAATGTTTTTTGTTTTAAGGTCTATTTTCTCTTGCATCAGTATAGTCACTTCAGTTCTTATGGTTGCTGCTTGTATGGCATATGTTTTTCATCCTTTTACTTTCAACCTATTTTTTTTTTTTAATCTAAAGTGTATCTCTTGTAAACAGCTTATAGTTGGAACTTGTGGTTTGTTGTTTTTTTTTAAATCTAGACTGACAGTCTTTACCTTTTGATGTGACTAATCAATTCATGTTCAGTATCATTATTGATTACAATTGGATATATATTTCCTGGGTTTACTTTTTGTTTTCCATGTTTCATGTTTTTTTGTTATGTTCCTCCTTCACTGCTTTTTACTGGACTTAATGAATATTTTCTAGGGTCACATTTTAATTTCTTTAATTATTTTCTAGTTAATTTTTAAAGTTATATTCTAGTGGTTGCTCTAGGGCTTACAAAATTTATCTTATTTAGAGTATATACCTGATTTATACTAACTTAATTGTAGTGTGATACAGAGACATTGCTCCTATATAGCTCTCTTCTCTTTTGTGTGTGCTATTATTGCTATGCATATTATACCTGTATGTGTTACAAACACACAAGAATACGTTGTTACATTATTATACTTATTTTTATAATTTTTGTATTTTTTAAGAAGCTGAGAGAAGTAAGGAGAGTAAGTATTTGGAGTTTATATCTTAATCTTCTAATTTACCATTTTTTATTCTCTTTATTTGTTCCTGTGGATTTGTTAACCATCCAGTGTCTTTTCCTTACTCCACTCCAGCTTTGCTCCCAATTGCCTCCTTTTGATGTTTATTGTCAAATATGTTTCATTTCTATATGTTCTAGCCCCACTAATATAGTTAATACATATTGCTTTGTGTAAAATTGCTTTTATAATCAGTTAATAGAAGAAAGGAAAAGAAATATGCAAATATTCTCTCTTTTTGTAATTACCTACATAATTATCTTTACTAGCACTGTTTGTTTGGTTTTGTAAATTCAAATTAGTGTCTGGTGTCACTTGCTTTCAACCTGAATAGAATTTGTTTAGTATTTCTTGTATGATGGTTCTGCTACCAATAGATTCTCTTAGTTTTTATTTACCTGGAATGTTTTTATTTCATCCTTTTGAAAGATAGGTTTGTTGAGTTTGGAATGCTTGGTTGATAATCTTTTTGTTTTAGCACTCTGAATATGTCTTCCCATATGGTCTTCTGGCCTTTATTGTTTCTGATGAGAAGTCAACTATTGATCTTATTATCATTCCCTTGTATGTGATTTGTTTTCTCCTGCTGCTTTCAGGATATTCAGTCTTTCAACATTTTGATTATGATGTATTTGTGTGGATCTCTATGTTTATCCTACATTGAGTCCATTGAGCTTCTCAGATGTGTAGATTATCTTTCCATTTATTTGAGTCTTTTCCACTTCTTTCATCTATGTCTTGTAGTTTGCAATGTACAGATCTTTCACCCCCTTGGTTAAATTTATTCTTAGGTGTTTTTTTTTTTTATGTAATTGTAAATAGGATTGTGTTCTTGACTTCTCTAATAGTTCTTTATTAGTGTATAAAAACATAACTGATTCTTATATGTTAATTTTGTATCCTGCAACTTTACTTGAATTTATTAGTTCTAACAGTTTTTTGGTGGAGTCTTTAGGAGTCTCCATATGTAATACCATGTCATCTATAAATAGAGACAGTTTTACTTCTTCCTTGCCTATTTGGATGCCTACCCCCCACCTTTTTTCTTGCCTAATTGCTCTGGCTAGGATTCCCAATACTATCTTGAATAAAAGTGGTGAGAATGGGAACCCTTATCTTGTTCTTGATCTTAGAGGAAAAGCTTTCAGCTTTTCACTGTTGAGTGTGGTGTTAGCTCTGGGCTTTTATATATGGCCTTTGTAATGTTGAGGTATGTTCCCTTGACATCCCCTTTATTGAGAGTTTTTATCATGAATGGATGTTGAGTTTTGTTAGTTGCTTTTTCTGAATCCATGATTTTTATCCTTCATTTTGTTAATATTGGTGTATCATATTGATTGATTTGCAGATATTGAGCCATCCTTGCATTCCTGGAATAAAGCCCACTTAATCATGTTGTATGATTCTTTTAATGTATTGTTGAATTCATTCTGCTATTTTGTTGAGGATTTTTACATCTATATTCATTAGGAGGATTGGCTTATAATTTTACTTTTTTGTAATTTCCTTGTCTGGTCTGGTATCAGAGTATGCTGAATTTATAAAATGAGTTTAGAAGTGTTCCCTTTTATTTTTTGGAAGAACTTGAGATGTTTTGGTATTAATTATTTGAATGTTTAGTAGAATTCACCATTGAAGCCATCTGGTTCTGGAGTTTCATTTGTTGGGACACTTTTGATTACTGATTCAATCTCCTTACTAGTAATCGGTCTATTCACATTTCTACTTCTTCATGATTCAGTCTTGGTAGGTTATATGTTTCTTCTAGGTTGTCAAACTTGTTGTTGTAAAATTATTTGTAGAAAGTCTTTTATGATCTTTTATAGTTCTGTGATATCAGTTGTAATATTTCCTTTTCCATTTTTGTATTTTATTATTTGAGTCCTCCTTGGGTTTTTTTGGGTGGGGGTGGGGGTGATTTTAGCTAAAGATTTGTCAGTTTGTTTATCTTTTAAAAGAACCAGATCTTTAGTTCATTGATTTTTTTTTTATTGTCTTTTTAGTCTGTACTTCATTTATTTTTGCTCTGGTTTATGTTTTCTTCCTTCTACTGGCTTTGGGCTTTGTTTGTTCTTTTTCTGGTTCTTTAAGATGTAAAGTTAGGTTGTTTATGAGATTTTCTTATTTCTTGATGTAGGCATTTATCACTGAACTTCCCTCTTACAACTGCTATAACTGTACCCCATAAGTTTTGGTATATTGTATTTCCATTTTCATTTATTTCAAGGTATTTTTTTATTTCTCTTTTGATTTCCGCTGTGAGCCATTGGTTGTTCACTTTGTTAATCTGTTTTGCTTTATTAATTTCTTGAGTCTTTTTTTCTCATAAAACTTTCCATAACTTCTATTCCTTTTCAAGTTACTATGCAAATTACATTCATCCCTTCTCTTTAGTTTTCCTGAAGAGTTAATACTTGGTAATGTACTTCCTTACCTTATAATTCACTCCTCAACTCATTTAATTCTATATTTAATTGCTTTTTTGAAGTTCACCATTGGGTTTAAAATAGCAGTCACTAATAATTTAGTGAAAAGAGTTCAGAATTTGGAGTTAGAATTCAAAGGTTAAAGTACCTGTTTTTGTCATTTACTGTAGAAGTTATATTTCTTTATCAATCAAAATGTGGTCTGAGTGGGGTGCCTGGGTGGCTCAGTCGTTAAGCATCTGCCTTTGGCTGAGGTCATGATCCCAGGGTGCTGGGATCGAGCCCCGCATCAGGCTCCCTGTTCGGCGGGAAACCTGCTTCTGCCTCTCCCACTCAGCCTGCTTGTGTTCCCTCTCTCCCTGTGTCTCTCTCTCTCTGTCAAATAAATAAATAAAATCTTAAAAAAAAAATGTGGTCTGAGGGCCAAAAGTATGGGACATCACTAGGGATTTTGTTAGAAATGCAAAATTTCAGATCCTACCCTAGACCTATTGAATCAGAATCTGCAAGTTAATAAGATCTCCATATTGAGAAGCAATCTTATATCTTCCATCTTTGAAACTTAATTTCTTTATATGTAAAGTGCAGACAGTCCCCCACTTAGGATGCTTTGACTTAGGATTTTCATCTTTATGATATGCATTCAGTAGAAACCATACTCCAAATTATGAATTTTGCTATTTTCTTAGACTAGCCATATGTGGTATGATATTCTTTTGTGATGTTGGACAGCAGCAATGAGCCACAGCTCCCAACCACGATTATAAGGGTAAAAACCTGATACACTTACAGTCATTCTCTACCCATACAACCATTCTGTTTTTCACTTTTAGTACAGTGTTCAATAACAAGATATTCAACACTTTATTATAAAATAGTTTTTGTGTTAGGGAATTTTGCCCAATTTTCGGTCAGTGTAAATGTTCTAAGCATGTTTAAGTTAGGCTAGGCTAAGCTGTGATGTTTGGTATGTTAGCTTATTCTATGTATTTTTGACTTACTATGTTTTCATCTTTTGATGGGCTTATCGGGATGTAACCCCATTGTAAGTTGAGGAAGATCTGTATAGATAGTACTTGTATATATCAACCATCTTGCCATCATCTAACATCCCATATGTTTTACCAATTTATTTTTTGTCTGCTTCCTACTATTAGAATGTAAGCTTTGTAAGGCAGATTTAGAGTGTAAACTTTGTTTATTGCCCTATTTCCTATATCTAGAACTGTGACTAGCACATAGTAAACATTAATTTTTTTAAATTTAATTTTATTTATTTGCCAGAGAGAGAGAGAGAGCACAAGCAGAGAGAGCTGCAGGCAGAGGGAGAAACAGGCTCCCCACTGAGCAAGGAGCCCGATGCAGGGCTCAATCCTAGGACCCTGGGATCATGACCTGATCTGAAGGCAGACGCTTAACTGACTGAGCCACTCAGGCATCCCACATTATTTTCTTTTTGAATGAACAAATGAATGAATGCATATCTTGTCAAATCTTGTCATTTCTATTGCAGTCATTTACTTCCCACTGCCATTTAGAATTAGAAGTACTGGATTAGACAGTACAAATACAGAAATTTCTGTTGCAGAAAGTTCTGTTAGATAGTACTACTTACACTTTTGCATTCTGGTCCCACTCATCTTGAATCTATATTTCTGCAGTATAGTTCTGATCAAATTTATCAACAACTCCCCATGCCATTTAGAACTAAGTTCGAAATCCTTAGTGTAATTTTCAGACACTTTATAGTTTCATATAGTTAAAAAATATATATGTTCCTCAGGGTGCATTTATTAGAAGAATCATTTAAACCCACTGCATGCATAGCATCCATTTGGGCCATATTGCATTGCCCTCGTGGGACTTGAGGGATAGGGGAAATCATGAAAATAAGTTGAAGATCCTTTGCTATGCCGTGGAATAAAGTATTTTGTCTCTGATTGAGGAGTCGCATGTCTTTTAATGGCATACAAGACACAATAACAGGCTAACTTATTAGGTATAACTAGGTCTGAAAATAAAGCCCAGACGGGATAGCATTTTCCCATCATGTTAAAAATTCTTTAAAAATCCAAATTTTAATAAAGATCCACATAATATATCAAATGGATATGCTGCTATTTTTAAACATTGTTGAATATTTAAATTATGTCTGCATTAGTTTGCTGTTGTAAATGGCTTTGTAATTAATATCTTTGTAAATATTTGTCTCCTTTGATGACTATCAAACTGTTTCCTTAGGATTCCTTACTGGAAGTGTAAAGGTCAAAGGAAGGAAAGCTTGCTTTATTTCTTTTATGTGTAAAAGAAATATTTCTTAATTAAAAAACATATGATAATATTAGTATTAATAAATCTGTTTTTCTAGGAGGTACTTCTAAAGGAGGCATAGCTGAAGTTATTCAGTCCAGCTTGAAACCAGGCATCACTGCTACTCCTGGAGATTCAGATACTGGATCTCATTTAATCTTATGTCCTCAGTTGGCTTCAAGGTCTCCTCAAGAGAATACTGTTGGTCAACATACTGATACCCACAACCAATGGGCATCGGTAGATAGTGATATAAGTGAAGAGACTCTAAAAGTTTCACCTGTTAGTGAACTAGCTGACCAGAAGACTGGGATATCAACAGTACCCTCTAGTTTCTACTCACAAAGAGGGAAGCCCAGTATTTTCTACCCACAGGCCTTGCCAGATGGTCATCTAACTGAAGAGGCTCTAAAAGTTTCAGCTGTTCCTGGTCCTACTGTCCAGAAGAGTGGCATACCTACAGTCATTCCAAGTTCCTGCACCTGTGGAGAGAAGCATAATATCTTCTGCCAACAGACCCTGCCAGACAGTCATCTAACTGAAGAGGCTCTAAAAGTTTCAGCTGTTCCTGGTCCTCCTGTCCAGAAGAGTGGCATACCTACAGTCCTTCCATGTTCCTACTCCCGTGGAGAGAAGCATAATATCTTCTACCAACAGACCCTGCCAGGCAGTCATCTAACTGAAGAGGCTCTAAAAGTTTCGGCTATTCCTGGTTCTGCTGACCAGAGGACTAGCATATCTACAGTCCTTCCAAGTTCCTACTCATGTGGAGAGAAGCATAGTATCTTCT